CACTGCTCAGCCAGAAGAACTAGGAATACTTTATTAGTGAAATGATTATGAAAGTGGTAACAAGGCTGCAAATGGCCCTACCGTCCTCTGATCTCTGCCCTCTCGGGTTTGTTTAGCTCCTCTCCTACTCTTTCCATTCTGCTCCCATCTCTAGGACAAGTCTTCCACCTCAGGTACAGTCCATGGTTGCTGGGTCTTCAGCTTTTTGGGCCTGGATGATCAGAAATCCCCACAGGAAATGCATGTGTAGGCTGTGCCCCTTAGAGGCTTTCACCAGCCTCTTCCTAGGGGATCCCTCCTCCTAGGCCCAGTGCTAACTTCCTGGGAGGACTCTGCACCTCTACATGCTCCAGAGCCAAATCTGATGCTGTGGATGCCACAGCTGGGGCTAAGGGGTGGCGCCCTCCCTCTAGGTCCGAATTTTTGCCTTCCTGGGGTAGCCCTGCGGTCCTCCAGAGGGTTCAGAAAACTGGGTGCAGCCTGAGCCGCCTGGATGACAGGGGACATCCCCACTCGACATGGAGAGATCCTCAGACCCGCAAGGCCATGCGCAGGGCCGACAAATTTGGACCGATAACTGGGGGCTCCAATGCCCTGGCAGCGCACTCCTCCCGCTCAAGAGCTCAATCTCAGACCCCTCATGCCTAGCCTCCTCCCACAGCCTCTCTGGGATGCCCCGCTCCTCTGGCACTCAGTTCTTGCGATCATTTTCACCTGCAACGGGCTCAGGCCACCAGGAGATACCTGCAACATGGGCACCCACCGCTCCTCACTGCTGGAGGACTGTCGTCTCCCACGCGCGCCCTCACTTTGAGGGCTGAGCATACGTGACCCTGCGTAGTGACTGGGCTGCGCCTGCTCCCTGGCCACCTGCTGCTGCTCCCTTAGGGGCCCAGACACTGGTGGGCTTAGAGGTGTTCAGTGGACTACTGTGAGCTGGGAAATGGAAGCCTTTCTCTTTACATAGCAAGAGCCTTTGGTAGCTGGGTCTCATGGCCCACTTTGAGGCAGTCTTTACAAAAGCCACTGACATTTTGTTAAAAAGACAGAAGATCTGTTTCTTATAAGATGTCCAGGGCTGGGGATTTAGCTCAGTGGTTCTGCCACCCGCCTCACAAGCACAAGGTCTTGAGTTTGATCCCCAGAACCAAAAACAACAACAACAACAACAACAAAACAAACAAAAAAACCCCACACAAAAGATGCCCAGTCCTGCTGGCACAACAGTTGTGCAGTGGTAGATGCCACTGTTATACAGGCTGTCCTCTCCTTCCACTTTCTCCCGCTACCCCCAGTTTTCAGTTCAGCAAAAAGTGATGAAGAGAGCACTTTAGACTCCCTCCAGAAACCATTATCATTAAGGACCCAAGAGAAATGGCAAAACGGCCTGGTATGGTTTGAATGTATGTCTTCCCAAATTTTCATACACTGATAACTAATTCTTGAGCCAGAAGTGGCAGTGCATGCCTATAATCTTAGCACCCAGGAGGTTGCAGGAGAAGCCAACCTGAGCTACATAGAGAGTTCAAGGCCAGTCTGAACTAATAGTGAGACCCCCCAAAAGAAAAAAGTCTCAAAATGATGGTATTAAGAGGTGCTATGTTATTTGGGGGGAGGGTGACTGATTAGGTTCATGTAAGCTCATGAAGGGTTTAATAACCTTAAAAAAGGCCTGTGGGAGCTTGTTAGCCCTCTTTCCCCTACTACCTTAGGACCCAACAAAGAGGCCATCAATGAGGAAGGGGCCTCGACCAGACTCTAAACCTTGGTCTTACATTTCCTAGCCTTCAGAACCATAAGCAATATCTGTTGTTTATAAATTATCCAGCCAAAGATATTTTGTTAGCCATCTCAAAAGCCTAAGACACAATCTAAGCATTGAAAGGGTGGTTTTCTTCCTCGAGAGGAGATTTGTGAGGACAGAGCAGTTGCTTTACAACCCTGTCTAGGGGTTCCAGACAAATAATTCACAAAATCAAGGCAAAAGGGACATTGTCCTTTCTTGCTTTTTCAGTGTGTTTCATTTTTCTTTGAGGCTAAAAGTCATGCAGCTTCTGACTGGTTCACTGGAACAATTTTGCAGCCCTGAGCTGACCTATAAAAGGCCTGACACAGTGATTGCTTTGGCAGCACATATATTAAAATTAGAATGATACAGAGAAGATTGGCATGGCCCCTGCACAAGGATGACATGCAAATTCGTGAAGCATTTCATATTTTTAAGGATATGGGATTTGGTCTCTTTGATCACCAAAAAGCAAACTACTCAGCCTGCCTGACTGGCAAAACAAGGAATAACGTTTAAAAAGAAGAAGGAGAAGAAGAAGCTCAATTGCCCTGCAGCCACCCTGTTGTAAGTAAGTCCAAGCACAAAGAGGTGCTGTATGTAGGGACTCAAGCCATGGATGCCAATCCAGGTGGCAGACACAGTTCTCCCATCTCAGAGTCCAAAAGTCACAAAGCAGAGACAAGCCACCCTTGCTGTTCCCTGTCCAAGTTCCTGTCCTACAAAATTCATTGGCCTAATGAATTTGTTGTTTTTAGCCACAGAATTTGAAGAGATTTATTTGACAGCAGCAGACAGCCATAACAGTCTGCAGTTTGATAGAGCCCATGACTTAGTGAGCCCAGGAGACATTTGTTTTATTCTAAACAATGCCTGTCACTTCTTGGTGCTTAGCTTCCACATACTATTCCTAACTCTCTAGAGAAAATCAGCAAAAATTCTCTTAACCTTCCTAGCAACATGGAAAATTAGTTCCAACAACCTCCCTGGTTGTAAAAATTAAAAATGTTGAAAAATTATAAGCATCTTTATAAATAAGTACACTAGTGATCAGGCATAAAAGACTTTGAAAAGATTTTTAAAGTAAAGGAATAGTAAGGACTTTGCTGGTGCAATTACTGAACTTATATAATAGAATTAATAGTAATAATGGATGGATTTGAAGGTATAAAGGAGAACACGGTCAGAACATCTAAGGCTGAGCCTTAAATGATCTGTAGTTTCAGCCAGGTGTGGTGGTGCACCCTTGTAAATCCCAGCATTCCAGAAGGCCAAGGCAAGAAGGTCTCAAGTTCAAGCCCAGCCTGAGAAACTTAGACCCTGTTTCAAATGAAAAATAAAATAGGGGCTGAGATTGTAACTAAGTGTGAAGGCCTTAAATCTGTCGCTGTTTCATCCACGCCTTGGAATGTTCCCCTCAAACCATGCTGTCAGAGCCCCAGTGGAAGAGAACTGATATCCTGCCAACCACCCACATGGAATACCCCAATGGCAGCCAGCACCAACTGGCCACTTAAGTAAGGATAGGTCAGATCTTTCAGCCACCCCTGCAGCTCAGCTAACACCATGTAAACCAGAATTATTGCCTTGCCCACACAAAATTGGAAAATAATAAATTATTGTTTTAAAATAAGTACATAGTGTGAGCTGGGATCCTGAGACATGAGAAGCAAACCTGACTTTTAAAATTCTACAAAACACACATACACTTCCACTTTGACCTAAACAATAAAGCCTAGGACCTGCCAATGTGTGGAGAACTGTAGAAGGAAACCTGTTTAGGACCCCGACCTTTCCTCTCTCAGTATAAGGCTAGATGAATCATCATCATCATCATCATCACCATATAAGAGAAAACAGCAAGAAAATATATGTCTTAGATGTTATGAATTTAATGAAGTTGTAATCCTCCAGGAAGGTCCAACCCAGTGCAGCACAAAATCTGCCACATGACCTCAAGGTACTGTCCTAAACCTTATCCAGCAGCCATTCATCTTGCTACTAATTCTTTGCTTTTTATCCTCCAGTCTATCCCTTTGTATGTACTATTCTCTCTGCATAGATTACACTTTTATTCCTTTTTTTTTTTTGTACTTGGGATCAAACTCAGGACTTTGCACTTGAGAGGCAGATGGCCACAGCACTGAGCTAAATTCCTGGCCCATAGATTGCACTTTTTCTTAACAATGTAATTGCTCAAATTTACCATTTATAGGAAGCATTTTCTTAACAATGCAATTTTTCACTTTGAAATATACCAATTATAGGAAGGTTTTCCACCTTTTCTTGCCATGGTTAATTGCTTCCCCCATTGTACCCCTATAGTTATTGAACATACTACATTGTATTGCAGTAATTTCATGTTTTGATATTTCCACTGAGTTCATTTAGGGCAGTAATCCTATCTTGTTCCTATTTGCAACACACTTGCTTATAAAAGGAAATTTTAGAGTGAAAATGTAGACTTGTTCTTGAAACATTTTATCACCTTCGTAATTTTCAATCTCAATGGTTTCAGCGTCAATCTCGATGGATTTTAGCTTCACCTGCACATTAGAATCACCAGAGGATCTTTACAAATTCTAGACATTTAGTGAGCCCAAGACATGTCTCCAGCTCACCAAACGATTCCAGCTGCAGCCAAGGTTGAACATTCCTGCCATGTCTCCAATCAGGGCCCTTTCAGCAACACCAAGAAAGGTGGGTTGGTGTATGATCGGACTGCTGGGAGTCATTCCCCATTGCCCAGTTAAGTACACACAGGGTCTTTCTATTCTTCCGGGGCACATACTTGAACAGACCTTTCCTCGGAACCAAACTCCAAGTCTTTCTGTCCAAAATGCCTTTTCCAAAGCCCAAAGGCTCGAGTAACCTGGATCCTCCCTAGGAATAGAAGACGGTAGGATCAGGGAAACGAGTTTCCTTCGCACAGCCCTACAATTGGAGGAATGGAGCAATGTTACATCACCCGTAGGCAGTACTTATGAAGATCTTAAACCTCTGAGGCATCTATGATCACTTCCTCTGCCCTCTAAGGAGATTATACCGTCGCGTCAACACTCAATTTCTCAGGAGTGTACCCCTGCGCAGATTTTTTAACGTCATTTTGAAGCGAGCCTGGCGCAGAGACTTCTGGGAAATGGAGTCTGTGCGAAGTCGGCACAATGATTGGGTGCTCGACGGCCAAAGATCTCTGCGCATGCGCATTGCTTTTCCAATCTGAAGAGGTGCAGTCTTCCCGGGTCCCAGCATTCTGTGCCGGAGGTGAGGGTTTCGGGTCTGCGAGGAGCCGAGTGAGCACAGCGGCCGAAAGAAGGGGACCTTGGGGACCTGGTGGAGGTGCTGTGGGAGCAGAACGGGGTGACGCGGGCGGACCCAGCCTGCAGAGGGTGTGTGGCGACGCCCTGGCTCCGAGGGGTACGGAGGGAAAGTTGTCCCCCCAGCGTGCGCATGTGTTCCGTGGGGTGTGGGCACTGTTGGCTTGGGCTTACGGTGTACCCGCATCGTATGCCAGATCCCGGGCTTTCAGGTTGGAAGTCTAGGGGCTGCCTTGCTCCTCCAGTTCCTTCTTCCCGCGATACGTGCTTGCTGGACGTAGGTGGAACTGACATTCAGTCTGTGTTGCCACCCACTCCGGTCCCTTCCTCTTACCCAGAAAAGTGCCCCACACCGCCTCATTTAGCTCCCTGGCTTGAGCCTCCGCGCGAGCGCAGAAGAGATAGGTTTTGATGGGGAGGATGGCAGGCTAAAGAACTAACAAAGCGTTAGGCAGATACAAAAGGGAGGTGTTTTTATGGCGTGCAGTGTCAAGGAATAACGGAAGACCAAGGCGAAAAAGCATAACTGAGGCCAGGGCAGAGTCTCGGGATAAGACCCAGCCGTCAGGGTAGATTGTATGTGCCCTATCCGTGGGCTGCCTTGAGTAGAAATTTCCGGATAGTTATTCAAAAGTCACATTCAGGACAGAGTGGAAGGAACCAATGGCAGAGAATAAGTGAGGAATGTGTAGTAGTTCCATAGTAGGCTGTTTAGGACCTGAATTTTGATGGTGATTGTGATAGGGAAAGGACGCAAATGACATTGCAGAAAAGCCAAAAGGACCTGGTGGCTAGATTTAGGAGGAAAAAGTGAAGTAAGTGTTTGGATTTCGGGCCACTGGGAATCATATAACATCTGATAGAAATGTATAGATAGCAGCTGGGTGTAGAGGTGAATGCCAGTGATCCCAGCACACTGGGCTTTGAGGCAGGAGGATCACGGAGAGTTCAAGCACCCTGGGTTCCACAGTGAGTTCAAGACCAGCCTGAAAAAAAGAAATGCAAAGCAGGAACTGGAGTTGACTTGGGTGGGGAGTGTAAAGGAAGGTAGTTTGAGGTGGTGGCAGAGTACTTAATGCAAAATGTGCAGTCACTTTGTACAACAAAAACACTGTGCAAAGATGGGCTATGGGCAGCATCCACATATCAGGGCAAAAGTGGGAAAAAGTCACAGGGAATCAGCAGTTTCATTAGGATTAGGAAGAAAGTGCACTCTCATAACAGCTACAGTAACTGCTAAAGAAGACAATCAAAACATTTAAAAGCTGTAGCGAAATGAAGAAAATGAGGAAAAGATTGTTGGAATTGACATCAGAAATGCATTGCTAGATTTCAAGTGTGTCATTTCATGTGTGTGAGAGGCAAGAGCAGAATAACAGGGATTCCAGTAAACGGGAACAGTATGGAGACAGTACATAAGTAATATTCATCAAAGAAGTTTGATCATGATGGGAAACCTAAAGGAGAGCTGTTTTGCTAGAGGAAGGCTGTAGGATTCAGGATAGTCTCAGGTAAAGGAGGCTTGCATGTGCTTGAAGGCATGGAAAGGAGCTACTAGAGAGATGGAAGATGCCGGGGAAAAGAGCACTGGAAAGGCAGGTAGCAAATTCTGAGAAAATAGTAGTGGAAGAAAGTAGGACATGGAGGTAGGACACAAAGGTCAAATCCTGGAGACAGACAAGATGTGTTATTGACTTTACACATCTTGCTGCCTACCCATAATAGGTACTTAATAAATATTTGTCAAATAGTGGGGTGAATGAGTAGAAAGGAATAGAACTTTCATTTATTGAATAAACTATGATAAATACTACATTATCTCATTTACTATTTATGACTGCTTTGTGAGGCTAAGTATTAAACCACTGGGTTGATGGTTGCCTCAAGTAACTTGCCAAGGGTTCATGATTAATAATTATAGGCCTGTGAAGTGCTTTCTACCATGTAGTTCCTGCCTCCCATGAGACTCACCCATGCAAATCTTTTTTTTTTTTTTTTGGTACCAGGAATTGAACTCGGGCCCTTGTGCTTGCCAGGCAATTGGTGGAACAACTGGGCCAAATCCCCAGCCCTACCCATGCAAATCTTTTTTTTTTTTTTTTGGTACCAGGAATTGAACTCGGGCCATTGTGCTTGCCAGGCAATTGGCGGAACAACTGAGCCAAATCCCCAGCCCTACCCATGCAAATCTTGAAGTGTAAAAGACAAAAGTTATGCTAAAGTTGATTGGTAGCCTTGGAGGTTTAAATAGCTGTGGAGAGAACAGGTGTGGAATAGCCATGTGGCTAAGATGAGAGCAGTAAAGGCTTTTGAGGCAATGGCAGGAAAGGGCTCACTTGAAGTTTATAGAATGTGAATTTGAAGAATTTTCTCTGCTCATACTCAGCAATCCAGGAATAGGAAAAGAGAAAACAGAAGTCGGGGGTGGGCGGGACTGGCTGTGACTCCATATGAGCTTGGTAGGGCTGAGGGTCAGTGAGGACCTACTGAAGTGACCGCTGGTGGACCGTAAAGCTAGGGGGAATGATATCTACCTGGTAGGGAGCCCTAGGTGATGAGCACTTTGGGAGTGTCAACTGGTTTAATGCCTGAGGAGCGGTTATACCCAGTGCCATTTGTAATCTGTTCATTGGTCAGTTTATTAAAGTCATCATCTAATAAACAAAACTTTGAATTTTTTCTTTAAGCATTTAAACTTTGAGCAACTCCAAGTACAATTTTAGATGTAGTTTGATTTGTTCAAAAAGCTTCAGTGTGTTAGACAACATACACAAATATCCTCATTCCACAGTCCTTACTAGGAAGGGGAAGGGGACATAAAAAGGATCAAGATGCTATATGTATATGGACCAGTGCTCCACAGTGAATGGGTTATGTATATAAACATACACTAATAAAGAAAAGGAAGAAAAAAGTAGGATAAATATGGCATGGAAGGACCTCTAAACATTTTAGGGTAAAATAAATAAAACTACAAGTAATAAAACAATATGTATAGGGGAAAAAAAAAGTTCTTAACTATACTTACACATAACCTATCTAAAGTAGCAGCCACACAATGTCATTAATATTTTCATTATTTCTACCTTCCTAGAATTATCACTTTTCTGTGATGCTAACATTTGCTTAGCACATTATTCCAAATGCTTTGTAGGTATTAACCTATTTAAGCGTTACATTAACTATATGAGATGACTACATGTTCAAGTTTTATAGATGGACTGAGACAGAGTTTAAGAAACTTTCCTAAGGTTGCATAAGTAGAGAAAGGCAGTGCTCAATTTTAATTTTCAGTCAGTCTGATGCCAGAGCTGCTGCTACTTATAATGACTATACTTACCTTTATTTCTAAGTACTTATTCTGACATCTTCCTTGGGCCTAAGTATTTATTTGGATTACCTTCTGGGGTTATAGGAATCTTTTTTTTTTTAGATAAATTCCAAAATTATTTATTTAGTTTGATTTTTTTTCAGCTTTAATTGAGTTTATTGGTACATTTTAGGGATACAGTACAGTTACATTCATTGTTGGGATCTTGTACCTCTACATGACAAGTCTTGGTGGGATATAGGAATCTTAATAGACAAAAAAGTAAAAGGAGGGCTGGGGATTTAGCTCAGGGTGCCACCGCCTGCCTCACAAGCGCAAAGACCCAAGTTCGATCCCCGGTACCAAAATATAAAATAATACAAAAACGAAAAAGAGCAGCGTTAGATAATACAAGTAGGATTCTGCCAGGCCCACACACTCGGGAGGCTGAGGCAAGAGGATTGCCGAGAGTTTAAGGCCAGCTTGAACTACATAGTGAGACTGTTTTAAAAAACAAAAAATACACATAGAGTTCTGATTATCAACCAAAAATATTTAGTTTCCTTTTGGGTATACATTACTCTCTGCTTCCTCCCAATGAGTTTTAAACCCTAGTCTCTTCTTTAGGATGCTTTTAAAAAAATTTTTTTACAGTTAGGGCAAACTTGTTTTTCTAGTAAGATTTTTTCTTTGAGATTTTGCTCTTCACATAGGTTTTAGTTTTTACAAACTGATATCCACCCTTAAGGTGATATTCTTTTAAATTTTGTTCAGCCAGTGTTAAATAACGTATTCTATTAATATTTTCATTGTAATGATTTATTTTCACAAAAGTATAGCCACATAGATAGTAGACCAATACATTAGAAAATCCAAAAGCATATCCAAGAACATAATAGGCTCACTATAGAGTTAGAAACTACCAGAAGACCAATAAATATATATATATATGTATTGGTCTGGGTTTTGGCATTTTTTGAAAATGTAATTGTTTCTTCTATCTTATAAATCCAGTTAGAGGGGTCATTCCTGCAGCAGGCAGGTATCTCTGCAGCTACTTTGCTTCTTTAGTCAGATTGGTTTGTTGGCAGGAGCACATCTTTTTGCCTGTTCTATGTGCCCCTGGTACTTATATTAGCCCTCCCTGTTTGGTATATGTGATTCCTATTTCTGGCATTACTTGGATAATCCCCATTCCCTGGTTACTTTTTCATACATGACTAGATAAAGTATATATCCCAAAAGTATATCTGTAAACACTGCCTTTCTATTTCATCCATTTGGGGAGGTATACTTCATATTAACTTCACGATTTTTGAATGTGAAATTCAGTCTTTCAAAATTCAAGTTATTTTATTCAGCTATAATAAAATTTATTGTTTGGCCACTGGAAGCCAGAGTCATCTGAGTTTTTTATTCAAGGATGTATGCGTGTGCAAGACCTAGTTCAGACTGCCAGCATACACACACACAATAGGATTGGCTCAAATTCTGTGTCCCAAACTACCTCATTAGCTTTCCCTTCGGTTGTGTTCTCTGTTGCTCTTTAGTGACCCATAAGTCATCCTTGTTCTCCAGCCTCCTTAAGCCTCCCCTTCGTCATTTTGTCTATTTTTGTTTGTTTGAGACAGGGTTTTGCAATGTAGTTCGGCCTGGCCTTGAACTCACGGTGTAGCCCTGGCTGGCCTAGACCTGGTAACAGTCCTTCCTTAGCCTCCTGATTGCTGTGATTACAGGTGTGTGCCATCACACCCAGCCTTTCTTAGTGACTTGACAGTGCTTTCCATTCTCTCCATTTCTGCTGCCATTACATTCACTCAGTTCTTCATTATTTCTACCTTAATTATACTCACTGGTCTTCACTCTTGCCATCTAGAGCCATCCTGCTACAGCATCTCAGAATGGTATGGCCTCCTTGGTCACAGGTACTCAAGACCACCCCCCCCATTCTATTCAGGGACTCGGAAGAAGGACTTAGGACTTAGCCTGTAGTTGTGAGTTTATGACAGTTTTTCAAGGATATGCAGGCAGAGTCTGAGGGATTCCATGTATGGGTTTATGTGGCTTCTCTACTTCTCTGAGAGGACACACAGAGCACACTTCTGCTCTACCACCAAACTACAGCAGTGTGTGTGATGTCTCTGCTTCCTCAGAGACTCAGTGTCCAGGTTTTTATTGAAGACTGGGCACTTGGCATCCTCTGTCTAACACACCATATTCTAGCTCCACCAGCAAAAAAGCAGATGTTCATTGAAACCGCATAAGTACTGTAGACGACCCTTTGCTCTTAAGGAATCAAGGGACTCTCAGAATCCAAGTTACCCAATGCCAGCTAAGGCTCAACCTTGCAAGCTGAACTTTCTAAGACCTTCAGTCTCAGGTCTGCTGTAACTTCTGCATATTCTCTTCTTTCCTTCCTGTTTTTCCTGTACACCAAAGTAACTGCATGCGCTTTTTTTTTTTTTTTTTTTGAGTCCAGGTCTTTGTATGTAGTTCAGGCTGGCTTTGAACTCACAGTGATCCTCCTGCCTCTGTCTCCTGAGTGCTGGGATTTCAGGTGTGTGCCACCATGACTGGCTTACATACACTTATTTAAATACTCAGGAGATGTAAAGAACTATAAAAAAATTAAAGTCACTTTTAGTGCCATCACTCAAATCTCACATTTTAATAATCTTTTTTCTATACATTTGGATATGCACAAATGTGTCATTTTATTTTTTTTTCTCATTGAGTTTATTGGTACATTTTAGGTATACAGTACAATTACATTCATTATTGGGATCTTGTACCTTTACATGACAGGTCTTGGTTCTCATTTTTTCCCCTCGCCTCTGCCCTCCCTTCACCCCCTCCTCCCCTCCCCATTTACAAACACTTTATTTCCATTTTTTCATTTTCTCATATTTTTTTCTTTTGTCTTATTACCTTTCCCCTACCCTTCCCACTTTCTCTACACCTTTAGCCCCTTTCTTCCTATTTCACATTGTCCATTATATCATTAGGATCTTATGTACTACAAATGTGTCATTTTAAAAGACTTTTTTCACAATAGTTTGTGAATTTTTTTTTTTAGAAAAAAAATTAAAGTCAAAGTTGAAATCTCCTGTGTTTTCTTCCCTAATTTCATTTTCTTCTCTTCTGAGATAAATCAATTTTGGGAATA